GATAGCCAAGCAGCATTGACTGACAATACCGTCGCTGTCAAATGTTCACTTGCAACAAAACTTTTGGAATAAATTCCATCCAATAAACCGCTTGACTTTTGTGCTGTTACAATTGAGTTGTTAGTACCTGTGTAGAAATTTTCTATGCTGCGTACTGTAAAAAAATAAATGAAACTTTGGCTTCTTTCCAACTCATTTAGATTTGCTAACAAAGGTTTGTTTTTTTGAGGCCAAAGTCATACGATATTCTAATTATTTTGATCATTCAGTAGCTCAATCACTCAGTGATTTTGTCGATGGCCAGTTTATTGTAATTTGAGCTGTGCAAAGCTTAAAAAGATTTTGAAAATTTTTTTTGCAAAAGTCGAACTATTTTAGTGCTCGAAACTAAAGGTCGGGAGTTATGGAACACATAAATAATAAAAACTTTTGATGCTACTTTTAAAATATTAATTTCTTATCATTAGACAAGCTTAAAGTCTTATAGAGTACTTTGATACGGCAGAAGTATGTACATTTCAAATAAAAGCATTTAAGTTTTTACATTCTTGTGATGTATATACTATCATGAAACGCTTTCCACCAAAAAGTACCATGCGCTTGAAGTCACTCCCTTAATAATTTTTTTCTCTTGTTTTATTGTCTTTACTTCGCACTGTTTTTTCATGTTTTTCTGTTAAAGTGTTTGAGTTTTTAAAATATATTTAACTTAAAAATGTAAAGGGCAGGATCTTTTTGAAATTTGTTAAATAAACAAAATAAATTGCAGTACCAGCGTTTTTCTAACAGAACCGCCCTTCGGTGTTATTTGGGGTGACGCTAAAGAAAGAGACAAAAAAAATGTCTATTGTTGAAGATCAATTTCTAATTAAGAAGATTCTTAATTTTTTTAAAGCTTATATTTACATCTTATAAGCAAACATACAGTGTTCGCAGTAAATTTCTATTTTTGTGTTTTTTCACTTTTTCTTTTTTATTCGCTTTTCTCCACCATTTCTCTCCTCTTCTTTTCTTTTTCTTTCTCGTCTTTTTTGACAACTTTTTAATCTTTTTGAACAAAATTTAATATTTGATTGAGACGCCCCTGTTCAAACGCACAAAGAGGAACGACAAAAAATTCAAGCACAAACTTTTAATCTGACAGTTTGTATTCGAGGGTTGATAGTGTTTTTTTTACTTATTTCTAGTGTTGGTTTTCAATATTGATACCCTTACTGTATTTTGATTGCGTTTGACAAATTTTTCTACTCCAAAGTAATGCATTTAAAAAAGAGACGTTTCGAAAGAAGGACATTTAGATTGTATTTAGCAGGGGTATTGTTGAGTTGTTCAAGCGGAATTTTTATTTACTGAAAAAATTACTTCTTTGTAAAATTGTTTCTAAATATGTGTTTACTGTGAATACCTTCTGCTGATTTCAGCTCCGTTCTGTTGGCTAACAATATTCACTGAACTTTTTTTTGTGGTCTGAATTTTTTCGCTACGCGGCTGAACTGTAAAGTGTTATTTTCCTTGCAGGTCTTCCCATTCAAATGATTAGTTGATTCGGGATATTCATAGCACCGTCAATTCGCTATTCTACCACTATGTTTACTTGATTTTTTTTGCTAAACAAGAATCGACTTTATTGCAGAGCAGTTGGTTGCGTCTCATGAATAAATACCAGAATAAATTAATTAGTGAATTTATGAGAACAATATTCTGGTTAAAAAAACTAATGCTTATTGTTTTACATGACTGATAGTAAAGATACTTTTGAAAACACAGATTAATAAATAATTGTACAGCCAAAAAAAGGAAATGTTTTGATTTACAAATGTGTTTATCAGTTCACTTAATTTTTTAATAGTTTCAGTTTTATCTTTTTTTTTTTT